CTACTTCTTAGGATTATGTGACACTGATAGAGGAAATGGATATGAATGCTTATTATTTTTATAACTATTAGTGCAATTCTCTATGACTAAATAGAAATCTGACAAAGATTTTGATGTCTACTCACAAGAATAACTTACTCATATTTATTCATTCATTACATAAATGTTTATGCCATTGGTTTATTAGAATTCTTGTGGCAATTCCAGACAGCATATACATAGAAGATGGTTCATTTATATTTGTTGATTTTAAGGCCTCATCATCCTGGGAGATTTTGTAATGCGAAATGCTTCAGTATTCTTATGACAAAGCACATGTTGTTCCATCTGAATAAATGTCTAATCTCTGTCCTCCCCCCACTTCCAGTTAAAACCTATTTTTCCCTTTTCTCATATGCATTTACTTCCCCAGCAAGCCCTCTTTGGCACTCTAAGATATTTCTCTCTGTCTGCATGTGTGTTGCAATTTTATATTTATTTAAATGATACTTTTCAAATTCCATCTTCCCCATCAGGCTAACATTCTGATTTATCAATCTGATAAAACCCATGTATGTTTTAACCCAACATTTGTGAGTGTAGAGAATTGTGCCTGTCACAGGGTTAAGTGCTCAGGAGATTATAATGGATGGGTGTGGTTATTTTACAACCAACAGTTACCATTTTACTCCACACAATGCTGAGAACTTGACAAATAATAGCTCATATAATGCTTGTAACAGCACGAAATTAGGTATTAATTTTAATCCTGTAATTAATTTTAATATGTAAAAAAATAGATTAGGAAACAGAGACACAGAATAGATGAGTCATCTGTTCAAGGTCATACAAGTGGAAAATGGGAGTTGGTGTCAGACTCACACAGTGTGTCTCTGATGTCTACATTCATCTGTACATTATGTGGCTTCCTGGAAGGAAATATGGCTCTCACATGGCGTGGCTGTTGAGGTCTTCAGGAAACCATTCAAAAGTGAATATATGCTGAGTTACTACTTGGGGGCTCTGAGTGTCCCCATCAGGAGCCATGGACCTTCAGAAGAGGTAATGAAGACACAGGGCTATTTCAGGTTACCTTTTGAGCAGCACTAAGACGCAGCAGCCAGATTGAAATTCCAGGCTGGAGAGCCCAGCATTGTAACAGGACATACAGGTGAGGAACAAAGCTTTGGAGGCTGCAGAGGGGCCCAGAGCAGCAATGCTCAGGAATATAAAGACACAGCAAGCACAGCAGGAAAATTCACCAGCAAGTGATACAGCATGTTCTATCCTCCTGGGCCATCTGCAGGCTATAGGATGGCAAGGCAAAGCTCCTGCCATACTGAGCCAGGTACTGAGCAAAAGTTTCAACTATAGAAGCAAAGCAAAGACGCTCTCATCTAAACCAAGGCATAAATTTGAGGCTGAGAGGGTGACAATACTGAGATACTATAAATCGAGCTGGAACTGCTCAAGTCCCACCCACTGAAGTTTAGGATTTGCTCAATCATCCTCCTTCTCAAAGTATGGGCAGGAAGCATGAGTATCAGCTGGGGCTTGTTAAAAATGCAGCATCTTTTGCCCCACCCCAGACCTCCTCAATCAGAACCTGCATCTTAGGAGATACTCAGGCGATTCATATATACGTGCATCTGAGAAGCAAGAGCAGTTCTCAACTTACAGGTGAGGTAGGCATCAGGCCCACAGGGAGGAGGAGCAGGGGGAAGGGGGAGGAGGAAGTTAAGTACCAGCCATATATATATATATATATATATATATATATATATATGAGAAGGAAGGAGGGGGGTTTTGGTTCAGAAATGTTGTCCCTTTTCCGTTTTCTGCTGTGTTGTGTACAGACAGCCCTCACGGTTCTTGCTTGCGTTCCCAAAGTCTGTTTATTCACACTCAGAACAGAGGGAGGTTTTGACAGCTGCTTTCCTTTCTTTCTCCTTTTAAATGTTCCACAATCACCTACCTGCGCGTTAACCACACATAGTCCTTCCTTCTTCAACGGGCTTTTTCATTTCCAGCAGACACAGGATTCAGAGAGAGGCGTTTTGAACCGGTAGACATTTTCAACAATGGGGTTTTCTCTAAAGGTGTTTTCTTCTGAGCTGGGGCAGGTATGTATCTTTGCTAGAGTTTGAGCCATTTTGGTAGTTTCTATTCTGAGGCTGGTTGGAATTCAGAGCTGTGTCATGTGGCCGAATGATTTACTTCTGAAGCTTCTACGTGTTCTGTTGAAGGCACTTCTTCCTGAGGTGTGTGTTGTTTTGGTGTTGCACAGAGAGAGGCTCAAGGTGCTGTGATAAAGAAAGAGTGTTTTAGTTGTTTGACTACTTTATTTTTTATTTTTTTATTTTTTTTTTCAACGTTTATTTATTTTTGGGACACAGAGAGACAGAGCATGAACAGGGGAGGGGCAGAGAGAGAGGGAGACACAGAATCGGAAACAGGCTCCAGGCTCTGAGCCATTAGCCCAGAGCCTGATGCGGGGCTCGAACTCACGGACCGCGAGATAGTGACCTGGCTGAAGTCGGACGCTTAACCGACTGCGCCACCCAGGCGCCCCAGTTGTTTGACTACTTTAAAAAAACGACCTCAGATGTTACTGGTTTAACAAACAACCACAGTTGTGCAAGGAGAGCTGGTCTCGGCTAAGTGGTTCTTCTATTGCAGTCAGCTGGAAGGCTGGAAGGGCCAACGGAGTTCTGCTGAGCAGGGTGGAGACTGGTTGGGATTCTTCCACATGATCTGCCATCCTCCTGTTAAATGTATTCGAGCACAGCAGCAGGCTTCCAAGAAAGAGAATTCCACAAAAACAAGCTTCAGTGAGCACAGGGTTTCCCAGCGTCTGCTTGTGCTGCACCTGTCAGTGTCCCCCGGACAGGGACACAGTGCCTAAGAGGCAGACTGTACATGGGTATGAAACCCCAGAAGTATGTTCCAATCCGGGGCCATTTCCACAGTCTACCACTGTTGATTAACTTGTTTGGTTTGTTTGTTTGTTTGTTTCAGGCCGGGTGGGGTTGGGAGGAGGACAAGGGGCAAAAATGGTGAAAAAAGTGAAAGCTAGTCACCAGTCACCATATATGAGTGTGTATATGTACATACATGACTGAATGCACACATTTAGTGTTCTGGGAAACAGGCGGGACTCCTCTATTTTCCCCCCAAAGATTCTCCTTTGTTTAGAAATATTAGGTTACTCTATGTAATTAGGTTACTCTATGTAAGTTGTCTGGAGGCAGGGTTGTGGGAGAGAAGCTAAGCAGAAGGAGGATTTTCAGACAAATAGTTTAATCAGTATTGGTATTAGAATTCGATCACATACTGTAGCCAGAATAGTTTCAAATCAGTTAAGGGAGTGGCTATAAAAGGACAGTTAGCCAGCATATACTGACAACAGCCTGGAAAGTGACCTAAGGAATGTCAAATATTCTTTATTTTCCTCAAAATATTATGGAATCTCTTGTGCTTTGTTTTTCTCTTTACTCTTTGTTATTTACTTGTTTCAATTTTTCCATTTATAGTAGGTTTAATATATGTCAGGCCATGAATTTGGTGCTGGCCACGTAGTGATAGAGTTAACCTGATATGCTTCTCTCAGGGAGTTTAGAGTCTGGGGCTTCCCCCCCCCCCCTTATGGCCTTAAAGGGAACACAGAGTGATTTAAATAATGTGAAAACAAGTCTATTTCCTGTGGTTGTTAACCTTGAACTGTAAGTTTCCAATGTCTTCCCACAACTACAAACAAGATGCTGGGAGGGAAGGAGGTAGTGTTGTCTTTACTTCTACAGGAAGATTAGGATGAGGAAGGCGTGGATTTGCTTATGTTCCCCTGAGTTGAAGACATTAGTGGAGCTGGTCCTCAGGCCTACCCTTGTGTTATTGAATCTTGTCTGATCACTATAAGACCTTGTGGCTCCGTTGGAACATTTAAGGCTGCACTACTAAAAAGATAGAAATTCTCTGCAGACATGGCCTCTTGAGTTTCTGTTCCTCACACACATCAGTTCACTCAGTGAATAGCACTGAGCTTTATGTTAGACTGCCACTTACTTAGGGCCTTTGCAGAAACTTTGATTTTTATTAAAACATCAATTATATAATGGGACATTGCTAAATGAAAAGAGGGCTTAAAATGATACTCACCGGTCAGTAGATCACATAATCAGAGATGCAGGATGGCCTAATGGTTGACCTTGGGCATGCTTTTATTTCATCTGAACCTCTATTTTCTCATCAGCAAAGTGGGAAGGATAGTAGTTGCTTATAGGTTGTTGAGATGAATAAAAGAATCCAAGAATAAAAGAAGCACAGAATCCTATCCACAGTAAGCCCCGATGTGATCAATTATTATCTTGATGATTATGAAGATGCTTTGTCCATAGTCTAGCATCACTAGAGATAGAAGGTTTATTGTGTCATTGCTAAGGTCTGTGATGCAGATTTCACTGTAGCAATGTCATTTGTAGGCCACATGTCTGCCTGACAGATTGAACTAGGGATTTAGCCATAGGGTAGCACTGGAATTCATTCATTCTTTCTTTCTTTCTTTCTTTCTTTCTTTCTTTCTTTCTTTCTTTCTTTTTTTTTATTTATATATGAAATTTATTGTCAAATTGGTTTCCATACAACACCCAGTGCTCATCCCAAAAGGTGCCCTCCTCAATACCCATCACCCACCCTCTCCTCCCTCCCACCCCCCCATCAACCCTTAGTTTGTTCTCAGTTCTCAACAGTCTCTTATGCTTTGGCTCTCTCCCACTCTAACCTCTTTTTTTTTTTTTTCCTTCCCCTCCCCCATGGGTTCCTGTTAAGTTTCTCAGGATCCACATAAGAGTGAAACCATATAGTATCTGTCTTTCTCTGTATGGCTTATTTCACTTATTCTTTCAATCGACATCCAAAAGCATCCAGTCTACTAAAACAAAGAAAAACCATCACTTGTTTTTTTTATTTCCCAATGTTCCAGCAGTGGCCCACAAGCAATGACCTTCTCATTTAACTTTCTTCAGGGTTTGATGCCTATTTTACGTCACGCACACTTGAAAACAACAGAAGAAACGTATGGTTTGCTGAATACTGGGAGGAAAACTTCAACTGCAAGTTGACAATTAGTGGGTCAAAGAAAGAAGACACAGATCGCAAATGCACAGGTAATTTCATTCTCATTGTCCTTCTCCAGTTACTCTACGTGGCCAGCATTGAAATGGCTGCATAGCTGACAGAAGGAAGCTTGGCTGGAGACAAATTGAAAAAGTAAATTGAATTTTACTAGATTGTTCAGAAAATGGAACAGGAGCATAAGTCTTACAGGACAAGAGAAGTACAGACAAAATTGTATTCTTTTCTGCCTGTCCATCTAGCAGGAATTGACATGTTCATTGATTCTTGGAATTCAAAAGGGTCATGTTGCTTTGAATGCTCTCAGTGATAAATATTAGTTCATGTTTTAGCCAGGAGTATGAAGTCATCTTCACAAAGACAAAATCTGGTGAATATCTTTTCAGCACCGGATTTAATGGTTATCATGGACTGTACTGTGTTTTTGATTAAAGAAACAAAATACTTGGTTTTAGAGTAATGAGAATTGCACTGGATTTCCATAACATCAAAGTTAATGAGTCATCTGCTATTGAAAATACACTTCAAAATATTTAGGGGTGCATCTGGCTGGCTCATTCAGTACAGCATGTGACTCTTGCTATTGGGGTCATGAGTTCAAGCCCCACATTGGGCATAGAGTTTACTTAAAAAACAACAACAACAAAACTTCCGGCAAACTCATAGGGAACCTTGCGTAATTATTCCAAATTTAAAAACGTGTATGGGATGCCTGGGTGGCTCAGTCAGTTAAACTTCTGCCTGGAGCTCAGGTCATGATCTGACAGTTTGTGAGTTCAAAGTCCGCATTAGGCTCTGGGCAGTTAGCACAGAGCCCACTTCAGATCCTTTGTCTTCCTCTCTCTCTCTGCCCCTCCCCCACTCATGCTTGCTCTCTCTGTCTCTCTCTCTCAAAATAAACATTAAAAAAGTGTGTATGCCATGCATATATATGTATATACATGAAGTAGTCATAAAACAAAATTATTCACTGATGCATTCACAAATATTTATTGAGCAACTCCTTCCTGTTGAGCACAATACTAGGCACCATGATGTGATGGTAAGCAAGCCAGGTAAAGACCCAGCTTTCATGTTGTTCAGGGGATAGTGGGGGAAGATTGACATTATTCCAGTCATCTCTCAGTGAATACATAATTACAAGTTGCAGTAAGTGTCCTGAGGGCTATATGGGCATAGAACCAAGAAATTTCCCTTGTATTGAGGGCAGAAGCTATCTCAAAAGACCTCCTTGAAGAGTGAGTAGGTATTCGCTAGTTAGGAAAGGGTAAGGACAGATAGGAGAATTTCTTATAGAAGAATAACATGGCAAAGAGCTTATAGCAGTAGCAATTATGGTACCTCAGAGTATAGGAAAAACAAATACCTGACAGAAGTACAGTTAATAGGACAAATGTGTGAGCTGAGGCTGCTAGTGTAGACATGTGGAAAAGGAATAAGCCACGTGGGGACATATATGGAATTTGGTCTTTCCCCTAAGAGTACTGGAAACTGGGGGTGGGGTGGAGGAAGGGGAGGAGATAGGAATTGGGGGGGTGCAAGGGGTTACAGAAGCATGTGATGTATTCTTCCATCTTATCACCTGGCTGTATATCACATGTCAATACCCAATTTCATACTTCAGTACCCTTTATCATTTGTAGTGATGATCTTGAAATACCACAAAACCCTAAAATGTTTTTCTGTATAATCTAGAAAAGCACACTCAGGTTGGATACACTAATGTTTAGTTTGTGGGTCTTTGAATATTGGTCATCCAGATACTGTAGACTGACACATTCAACAAACACCTATTAATGAGGAATAATGCATGTGAACCATGGTCCTAAAAACATCATAAGTGGTGTGAGGATGCTTAAGTTTAGGTCTTTTCTTCAAAGTGTTTTCGTGAAGGAAAGATACAAAACAGTGATATGAGTAAAAATAATACAAAATCAACACATTGCATGATTAGATAAATAACTCAGTAAATTACAATACCAGCTTAACCATTCTCTAGACCATTATGTGTAGCAACAGTGTTTTCAGAAGTATGATCTTTATAATATTGTAGGGAAAAAAGAAAAAAAAATTATTTCAATGTTGACTAGACCTGGGTGAAACAAAGCTCTCAAGAGGAAACTTAAAAAAATTCATTAGACATCTGCATAATTTGTCTATATGACAAGCAACATCCAAGTGTACTAGAAGAATCTAGATGATTGATGACAGTTTTTTGGTTTCTTCTGACATTTTGCGTTCTGTAAAGTCTGGAAGGTAGATTATCTTACGCCCATTAGGGCTGTTCTAAGGCCAAGCCCCATGCTCTTAGTGTTTTAACAGTGCTGTTTTATTTGTAGTCACATTTTCATGCTAATTGTCAAGAATTGCAGTTAATAAAATTAAGCCCATTATCCTTTTTCAAAAATGAGTATGGAAGAGTTTTTCATATCCCACTCCTTCCATGTGACAAATCTCTGATCACATTTACTAAATTACCTGTGACCCCAAATTATTTAAATAATGTCCTTGCTCTCTTTCCTTCCTTACCACTTTGACAGTTGTTAGATTTGCTGTATTGAGTGGAGACAAATACTATTACCATTGTTGTGTCTCTTATTCCCGTTATTGGATTTGAATACATGGGTGGTCGTGTGTTTCTTTCTTGTACTGCCTTTCCTAAATCCAACTAAACCCATATTTTGCTTTGGAAGTATTCACAAAATACTGTTTACAAAATTGTGGCCTTTAGCAACAGTTGACCCTTAAACAATTTGTGTTGGAACTTCCGGGGTCCATTTAAACGGATTGTTTTCAACAAAGACAGTACTATAAATGTTTTTTTCTCTTATGATTTTCTTAATAACATTTTCTTTTCTCTAGCTTACATTATTAGAATATAGTATATAATATCTATGACCTACAAAATATGTGTTAATTGACTATGTTATTGGTAAGGCTTTTCAACAGTAGGCTATTAGTAAAGTTTTGAGGGAGTCCAAAGTTAAAGGATGATTTTTGACCACGCAGAGGATTGGAACCCTAACTATGCACATTGTTCAAGACTCAACTGTATGCTTCGACTAGGAAATGGAATAATGTGAGGAAAAGTGTGCTGAGATTAGCTAGACTTAGAGGGAAGGAAGAGATGGAGAGAAGTGACAGATGGAATTGTATTGATAAGAGTTCTTGAAACCATGATGTGAAATTAAGGTTTAATAATGGAAAAGAATGGGTAAGAGAGGGAAGTGTGGATGGGTTTAAGGATGTGGGTAATGAAAGGGAAAGCTGCTTTGGTAACAAGGTTTTGAAACACTAGAAGAATGGGTACATTGGAAAGAAATACCCAGATGAAGAAGCAGGCTGAGTAGTCTGGCATTGCAGACAGTGAGTCTGGCTCCAGGCAGTGTAGATAGTGCATGTTCTGAGAACTGCAGAAAACAGCCCACCTCACAGATTTTTATCTATGACTGGGCTCTGCTAAAGAATAAGAAAGTCTTGGGGCCCCTGGGTGGCTCCGTCACTTGAGCCTCTGAGTCATGATCTTGGAGTTCGTGGGTTCAAGCCCCACGTTGGGCTCTGTGCTGACAGCTCAGAGCCTGGTCTCTGCTTCAGATTCTGTGTCTCCCTTTCTCTCTGCCCCTCCCCACTCATACTCTGTCTCTGTCAAAAATGAATAAACGTTAAAAAAAATTTTTTTTAAAACAAAGAGGAATAAGAAAGTCTTAAAATACCCCTAGGATTTAGGCACACATTAAAATGCCAACTTGTTTTTCTATATTTTTTTTACAAAGTCTCTTTAGCCATAATGATGAGCCATAATAATTCCATATTAGCCTTAAGTAGACAATGAATGAATCAATCATCTGACCAGACAAACTTTGAGGATGAGATATGGGCCCCATACTATTTGGAGAGAGCAAATACCTGTGGTAACAGAATTGCAGTGGGATCTGAAAGGCCAAGGTGGTAAAATGTCATGAAAGGAAGAATAATCGATGAAAAAATGATATATTATTAAACTATGTACACTTCATAATTTAACTGGGAGCTAGATGTGCACGAATTCTTGTAGAAATTTACCTGAACAACCAGGCGATTCTTACTCTTATAAATTATCCATATGCGTTTAAAGTCTCCTTCAGACAAGGAAAGCTATCGTGTTGTTCAGTATTTTAAGAACATTCAACTTTGCCTGATAAACCAATTCCTAGTTCTCTCAACCTTAAAAGCTAGTCACTCTTCATCCCACCTTCACTGGTGATTGCTTAATTTTCACTGATACAGATTAATACTTGCCAGCAACCCATCCTGCTCATGGCTGATCTTACCTGCCATCCCCCAAGGGCATATGAGTTAAGTTTACTGGTGGTTTAAGCTTTCATAGAAAACACAAACTCTAACAAATACGATGGCGTTTCATAGTAGCCACACATTTTGTCATGGAGCTAGTGCTACCTATACACAAAATAAAATAAGTATCCTTCTAGATAATTTTAGTAAAAAGTGAGTTCTTCTAGATACTTTAAAGAATAAAGTAAGTCCTTCTGGGTACTTCCAGAAGTATACTTCTAGTCTATTTGTTGTCTGGGGACAGAAAGATTGGATGTCATTTTCTTTCTTGAGCTTCCCCATGCCCACCCCACTGGCTACATGTGTTTACCCTTAATACCAGCTAGTATATTGTTGACACAAAGACCAGTTTAAATTATGATATTTTGGGGAATGACATGTTTTTATGGGGATAACAAGGTTAAGGAAAGAAGGAAAAGTATACAGGTGGTGATAATTCTGAAAAAGACATTGAGGCCATCTTGGAGTCCAGAAAATCACTCTGTTGGAGAAACCAGAGTTTTGGGCATGAAGGAGGCCTGGGTTTGTGTTCTAGAGCTATTTCCCAATGCTCCTGTGAGAGGTTGGGCATTATTTAATTTTTCAAAGCCTTTTCTCATCTTTGAAATGGGAATAATAAAACTTTAATTCCAACTTTAATGGTATCAATTACCTACTGTTTGGGGCTGAATGCAGTTGCCTGTGAGGGTTTCATAAAGAT